CACCCCCTCCAGCTGACCGTTCTGCTCCCTCCCCGCAGGTCATGATGATGGGCAGTGCCCATCTGGCTGAGCTTCTGCTGCTCCACGGCGCGGAGCCCAACTGCGCGGACCCAGCCACGCTCACCCGACCGGTGCACGATGCGGCGCGGGAGGGTTTTATGGACACTCTGGTGGCACTGCACCGGGCTGGGGCGCGGCTGGACGTGCGCGACGCTTGGGGCCGCTTGCCTTTAGACCTAGCTGAGGAGCAGGGCCACCGCGAAGTTGCTGGGTATCTACGTGCAGCCTCTGGGGACTGACGACAGGTTCCTTGAGCCACCTACAAGGACTTCTTTCTCCCCAGTGTCCCATCCCAACCTGGTTCCTACCAGCTGTAAAGGTGGAACGGCAGAGAACCTGCAAGCCTTCCCTTCTCAGCTGGACTCCTGGGAGCGAGAAGGGGGCCAAGGGAGAATAAGTTCATATACCTTTTTGTGAATCTGTAGCCTGCCCTCATCGCTCATCCTCAAGCCAAATGCTGAAAAGTGGGGCAAATTTATCGCCAACAAGTTTTAGGCATGTGTATAGTTCCAGGTGTTAATAACTATTTAGAATTTTCTGATGGAAAGTGCATGTGAAGTCCTTGGATCACCCTGGCTGCCTACAAATCTTCATAAGGTAATCCTGGGGTCTGGAGTTGGAGGTGGCATTTGACTAGGGGTAATCAGTCCGTTTGCCCTGCTGATCTAGTCTTGAGGAGCTCCCTGTGAATCCAGGAAGAGGACTGTAATGCCTGGAAGCTGGAAGCAAACCTAAGGACCTCCGGGAAAATGTAGATGGGCTTCAGCAGGGGCCCAAGACTTACTACGCAGTGCACTGAAAGTCAAGCAAAACGGTAGCACCACCGGAGACTCACCCAGTTCCGCCAGGTAACGAAGCCTGAGAGCACTTGTGGAAGCTACAACAGATCTGCCCCTATACTCTTAACGGTCCTAGAGCTCTCCGCGATGTAGAGCAGCTCACCAATGGGAGCTTTTTCTCATTCCAGTAAGGCACAGTTGATAGTTTTCTAGATGTAGTCAAAATCAAACAGTGCAAGGATAAAGTGGTGCGTTATAATCAGAGTAATTGTAGCAGTTAACTTTAATAATGTGCTTTCTCTGTTTTAAGATAAGACACAGAAATCCTCCTTGTGAATTGTCACTTGAAAAGATGTCATGATTGTACTTTTGAGTTGTTTTTAGTAACACTGCATTAATGGGAAGATTGTAACAAAATAATTCATGGCCCTCAGTAAAGAGGGAGGCAAAATTACTGGCTTCTTAATGAAGCTATGACCCTGTGGCAAGCTCCTAGTGCTAATGCCTAGATTGCTTTTATCTTAACGATATTTATTTCTTTATTAAATTTATCTGATTGAAGGCCAGGGATTTAGCTCAGTGGTTCCAGCACCTGCCTTGCAAGTGTAAGGACCCAAGTTCTATCCCTGGTACCAAAAAAGAAATTTTTTTTATCTGACTGTTTCACTGATAGAGTGTCTCCAGGAAATATTCCAGATATCTTTCAGAAAATAGATGCCTTTGCCCAGGAAATTATCTTGGGATAGTTCCCAAAAGGTTGCTGAAAGAGTAGATGGAGCATAAAACTGTTGAAAACGATGGAATATCTTAGTATCTGCTGACCAAACTAATGGTGCACTGCATTTGGGTTTAATTCGAGCTTAATTCATTATAGCATTGGAACAACTGATACTACTTTATTACTATTTTAATAAAGAATAAACCATATAACTCGAACTCCAAGATTTGGATACTTTTGTTTAAAAATGTATTTCCATCAACTAACCACTAACTCCTGACAAACACTGAAAGTTCAAAAGGATTCACTTCTTTCATCTTTCATAATAATTGTTGATAAATTATTCCAATAATTTGTAAAAATTGTATATATATGAGGAAGTTAAACATAAAATTTATACATTCATATATAATTCATAAGTATACATTTATAAGTATCCAATTTACTGACTGTACATTTTAAAAAGAAAAGATAAAAAAATTAAGAGGAAAGATTTTATAGGGGATACCTTTGAGTTAATTATACAAATCTTCTCTGTCGACACCTAATTCCTCAAATTAATGTAATACAGTTCTGAGGAAGGTTAGTTGAGAACCTGACTATATCTTATTGGGAAGAAATATGCTTGTTGACACATAGTTTGTTCCAGGCACACTTTAAAATACTTTGTTTAACATGAGAAATAGGATGGGATTTTAGTTTGGTTTGGTTTTGTTATTTGTAGTGCTGGGGATTGAACCCAGGGCCATGAGCACACTAGCAAGCCCTTTGCCACTGAACTACATCTCCAGACAGCAGAAGCATCACAAATGGGGCGGGGGAAAGGGGGGCAGAGAGAGATAGACTGTGAGACAGAGACAGAGACAGAAAATCAATCTCCAAGCTTCAAACACTTTAAGAATCTAAATCTACTCCTGCAGCCCTCAAGAATAAAACCCTTCCCATTAAGCCCCACCTCCCAGAACTTTTGCGTTGGGTAGTTTCTAACACATGCTTTGAGAGGTACACATTTTTTTGTTGTTGTTTTTTTGAGACAGGGTCTCACTATCTATGTAGTTGAGACTGACCTGGAACTCACTATGTAGTCCAGACTGGTCTTGAACTCACAGTGATCCTCGTGCTTCAGCCTCCCGAGTGCTGGGATTACAGGTGTGTGCCACCATGCCTGGTGAGAGGTATACATTTAAACCATAGTAATGAGCCTTTTTCATGTGCCAGTTTATCATCCAGCCGTGCTAATCTTGGAGTCTCCTAAACAGGCTGTATTCTTTCCCTTTGTGCCACTGCATGCAGTTTTCTCCCCATCTCTTACAGTATCAGTCTAGTCATCTTTATAGTATGTATCCTGCTAGGTTCTACTTAAAGAACAAGTTAACTGCTGAATGATAGGTGACTAAGTAATTGACCTGAATAATCCTTAGTTCAACCTGAGGTTGAACCTACTGCCCCTCTTCTGTGATGCCCTACATGTTTATCTAGCACAGAATTTTTTTCTCTTTCTCTTTCCTGTGATACAATGAACTTCCTAAAGGCATGAAATGCTGCTTACTTGTTTATCTCCCAACCCCAACGCCTGGGTACTGGGAACGGAACCCAGGGCATTCTCAGTGAGAAACATCCCCAGTGTTTTTTGTTTGCTTTTTTTTTTTTTTTTTTTTTTTTTTTTTTTTTTTTGAGACAGCATCTGACCAAGTGGCTAAGTTGCCCAAGCTGAGCTTGAACTTGTGACTTTTGATTCTCCTGTCTCAGACTCCTGGTGTGCCAGGATTGTAGGCATGTGCCACCATACCCAGGGTGTATTCAGTTTTGTAGCCCCTGTGCATCACAATGTCTGGGATACAGTAGACTCAATCAAAACATAGATAACTGTACAAACATTTCATATTACTACTATGTTTCAAAGAAAATAAAGTAAAATACTAATGTAAATATCAACATTTACAGAAAAGCCTAAAGAATATAATTATTTGCTTTCTATTCAAAAATTAATCTGCCCATTTGAGATGTGATTAACATATTAGTAGTATTTTTTAAAAGAATAAAAGTTACTTTAGGAATATAAGTTTATTTGCTGAGAGAGTGGTATACATTTTTATTTTTATTAAATAATGTTTGAGATAATAGAATTCAGGATGCTAAGAAGAAGTATTTTATTACATAAATCCAAAAGTATTTCTCACATAGTCTTGCATAGTTTTTTCTCAAAGTTGGTTTTATGGGTATATTGCATTTATAGAACATTAGGAAATAAAATTAGGGCATAATTCAGACAATAAACTGGGCATTTTCTGAAGCTACAGTCCTAAACATCTTATGGAATTCTCTCCATTGTGAGATTTTCAAATACATTGACACTATATTGGAAATAAAGAATCCTATACTCTTATCAGTAACTGCTAAGTTTGCAGTTAGTACTAACAACTAATTTTAGAAAAACTACAAAGGGGCTATAGAGAATCATTCATCAGTCCTGCATGAACAAGTAGGTCAATTTATACCTGTAGGGTTTAGTTCCTTGAATAATATTTTACTTCCCAAGAATTTCCTTGTAAGCTTGTAAAGTGATGTGAGGTTTCAGAACAGGTAGAACATATGTACAAAAAGTATTCCACCTCTTTTTTATTTTATACTGACAATATATAATGTAGACTTGCCGGGATTTAGCTCAGTGGTGCCGCCACCTGCCTTGCAAGCACAAAGACCCAAGTTCGATCCCCTGTACAAAAACAACAACAACAAAAAACCATATATATATAATATAGACTTGTGGGATACAAACGATGTTATGATCAATGAATATAATGTGGAATAACTAAATCAAGATAGTTAATCACAGAAAGACAAATGCCACAACTTCTTACTTATATGTGGAATCCAAAACAAATAAATTTATAGAAACATAGAACGGTAATTGAAGAGGCTGAGAGGTAGGGAGCCTGGAAATGATGGTATAACAGCACAAAATAGGTGGACAGTATGAATGTTTCTCCTTTTCTCCTATTGAACGTTATGATAAATACTTTATACTTCAAAGTTATCAAGATATAAATTTTCAAATGTTCTCATAACATAGCTTATAGTTTTGTTTTGCTTCCATGGTATGAACCTGTCCTCTAAAATCAGTAATACATATGAAAACAATTAATTTTGGAAAACATAAATATCTTCCTTTTTTATTTCCTAGGATAACTGCTTTCTGCAAGATAATAATGAATAGAATAAATTGTTTTAAATCTGTTATGAATGGCTTTGGAGAATAGCCCCCACAGAAGTATTTTAAAAACTCAAACTTTTTGGAACAAAGATAATGGAACCTTCATTTCAAATTAAGCCACAACAAAAGAAAATAAAATTCTACTTATTACTTAAGCACTCAATCACCTGAAGGGTGAAAGTAAGATATTTTTAAAATTTATACTGTAAAAACTAGGGATTTAGATCGGTGGTAGAGCACATGCCTGGCCCTGGGTTCAATTCCCAGCACTGCAAAAATTAATTAAGATGATACTGTTTTACAATTACTAAGAAATATCCTGGGGGAAAAAAGAGTCAATAATCTTAAGTCTCCCATTTGTTTATAATTTGTCCTTTATTAAATTTCAAGATGTTTGAATTTGCTAGTGGCAAGACACAGAGTCATGAAAAACAATGTCTTAAATTACATGTACATGGAACATCTTATTCCATTCCTAGTTTAAAGAAATTGTGTTATCTTTCCTAAACACAACTTGATATGGAGGGGAAATTAAACAAAAAAATGTACTTGTGAATTTCACAGTACTATATTACCAAGGGTAGGGTAGTTGTTCTTTTGCTTCACTTTGTTAGGTTATCGTTTTTCCATAAGGCAAAATCAAAACAATATTAGACACCAATTACCACCTAAAGCAGTACAGCAATTTATTAATACTACATAAAAGTCTGTTCAGTTTAAAGCCAATTAGCATATAGGTTTATTTGATGCTAATGTATCAGAAGCAACAGGAGACATATCCTATTAAATTAGTTATGAATTTCATCGTGAAGCATATTTACAAACAAAGGTAGTTATTATAGTCATGAGTCCTGGTTCTGCCAGGACTCCATTCTGGAATTGCAGAAAATTAACCTGTTAATTTCTGTATCTAAATCTAAAATATGGCCAAAGCTTTAAAAAAAAAATCCTATTACCTTACAGACCTGTATTATAAGAAGATCTGGAAATTAAATTTTAAAATTCAAGAATTAATACATTTGACTTTTTTTTAATCTTTCCTTTTGCACCGAGATAGCTGGATTGGACTATAAATGAAAAAATCTACTTTGGTTTGGTGGGTTTTGCGGGGAGGGGCATGCTGGGGATCAAACTTAGGACCTTGCGCTTGCGAGGCAGGTGGCAGCACCACTGAGCTAAGTCCCCAGCCCTTGAAAAATCTATTTTAAATTTTCCATGCTCTACTAGTTAAAATTAGTAATTTCAGGGCTGAGGATATAACTCAATGGTATAGAAAGGCACTAGGTTCCATTGCCAGCACTGAAAAAAAAATTTAGCAATTTCAGAACAAAGAAATGAAACAATCAAAGAGAGACTTTGACTCATAAAACCCCAAACATATTTGGGACAGTGTATACTTAAGAATGCTCTTAGGTTAGTTCATTTCCATATTACAACAAACACAATACAGTGTCAAGACCACTAATTTATCTTAAGGTAGGAAACTGACCTTCAGCAAATATTTACAATAAATTATATAAAATTAAGATGAAATGCTGACTACCTCACAGCTGGGTATTTACATTTTGCTAGAACTTTACCAAGGATCCCTTCCCACTCAGAAGCCCCTCATATTAATGTTCTGGTAGATATAGAGTCTGTCTAGGTACAGAAAATATCTTCCAACAGAGGTCAAGCCATTTTAAGACCAATTATAGTAATTAAACTATGTTTCATTTACCTTTTATATTTGGATTTATTCTCAAGTGCATTAATCTTCTGTTTATCCTCTCACACAATACTATTATTAGTGATTAGAGCTGCTTCCTCTGAACTCTGCCTTATGTGAACTCTGGGTCTCCCTTCTAGTCAAACTCCCCTGTACCTTCTACCTGTCCACCTCGCCTTGACTGACAACTAGGTCTTCCTGAGAAACTCACTTTCTTCTGCACAAAATACATGGTGCTGAGCTATACTGAATAGAGCAGGAATCAGGACCAGGAATGACAGTGAACCTGGTGTTCAGGTAACTTTCAGTGTGTTCCCAAATCAAATATATAAGGATTATCCAAGTTCTGTCTTGGCATAATTACATTTTGCTTCTTTATCTAATTAAGCTGCAAATAATTTCACTGTGTATTACTGCATATTTTATGATATGTTTATAGAAGATAATAAATGAACATATGTAATTTGTTCTGTTCACAAACCCATGGACATGTCAGTATGAAGTATTTATTCTTTTAAAGAGTGACTACTGAAAAAAATTTATATGAACTGGCTCCTTGTTGCATCTGTTATGAGGGCCTAAGCTCTACCACTCTTATGTGTGGGCATATGTGTGGCCCTCATATCCTCTGTACACACTGTCAACAGACCACCTTGGAATTATAACCGATAACCTTGCCTTAAAACCATTTGGTTGTCCTCTGTTATGCTGTAGTCTACGGACTGCCTTAGCTATTTAGATATTGAAATAAGCCTATTCCAGGATTCCAGTGGCTTCTGATCTGTTTAAATCTTACCACTGATTTAAAAATTTAATGTCTTCTCCTTCCAAGGAAAAATTAAATGACACCTCATTTTACATTTATCCCAAAGTATTTGTTATACAAAAACTGCTGACCCCGGTAATCACTTAAGGGCAACAAGCTTAAAAGCAGATCCATCTGAGGAAACTGGTTCTCAACATGATTTGCTGACCAGCTCCCAGTCCAGAATTCGAATTTCTAGGTTCAAGCCCCAAGATTTCAGTGGTTGTTACTTTAATAATTGTTATTTATCATAAATTCTCAAATAGTCCAGAAAGCAAAAACTATTAAGTGAAAATCTCCTCAGAATTTCCCACTCCCATCCTTGCTATCCAAGGGTAACCGCAATTTTAAAACTGGAACTATCCTGCCAAATGTGGGTACATAATCATAAATATTCCTCTTCAACACACGTATCCAGAAAATAGAAGTAAAATCATGCACTACTCTATCACCTGCATTCTTTGATTCATAGTAGATCATTGACAACTTGCATTGACAGCACATATAGATGCACTTCATTTATTCACAGCTGAATGAGTCCATTTTTAAAAACTATTATAAATATGTCAAAAATTCCTTTTTTACTTTCTTGCACTTTGTGATACAATATACCATTATAAAGAATCTATTTTTTTTTCCTACACTGGTAACTGAACCCAGGGCCTTTGCACCCTTTTTAATTTTTTAATTTTGAGACTGATTTTGGCTAAGTTGCCAACTTGCCACTGCCTCAGCCTCTCAGAGTGCCAGGATTACAGGCATGTGTCACCACACCCAACATATTTTTCTACATATTTATATGAGCTACTGTAACAATAAAAATAAAATTGTTGCATCTAATGGGACAATTATACATACATATGAATTTTTACAATCTGCATGCTCATGTGCATGTTTGTATATACATCTTTCTATACCACAGATGCTTGTATACATATACACAATATCTATTTTTTCATACATATTTAAATTGTGAATGGAATTTCTGAGTCAATGGAATATGTATATATTTATATATATACATATACACTTCTTTCCATACTTATATAAATTTACAAATATAGTGTGTATACATGTGGTGCATATATTTATATGTGCATATTTTCTGTACATTGTATCTTTGCAAACATATGAATTATAAGAGTGAAACATTGGAGTATAAGAGCACATATATGACATATTATGTACAATTTTTTTTGTACCAGAGATGGAACTCAGGATTTTGTGTTTGCTAGGAAGGTGTGGTGCCACTGAGTTAAATCCCCTGCCCTTACAATTTTGTTAAGTATTGTAGTTTCTTTTCAAAGTAATTACATGAAATTATAAGTATGTAGGAGTGACTATTTCCTGACAGCTTTGTCACTCTTTCTGTCATACTTATAGTATTATACAACATTGTTTCTGCTTGCATTTCTTTACTAATGAGTAATATTCAATATCTTTTCTTTTTTTTTTTTTTTACTATTTGCATATACCACAAACTGCCCACTTTCTTTGCCGATTTTCCTGATTTTTTTTTTTTACTGGCTTATGTATTTATTGATATATTCTAGAAATCAATCTTTTGGACTATCTTTTTACTGGTTTATGTATTTATAGATTCTAGAAATCAATCTTTTGGATTATCTTTTTACTGGTTTATGTATTTATAGATTCTAGAAATCAATCTTTTGGATTATCTTTTTACTGGTTTATGTGTTTATTTATATATTTTAGAAATCAGTCATCATACATTTAAATAACTGTTTTTAAATCTTGTTTGTAGTATCTTTTGTCATATGCCTTTGGGTTTTGGAAATGTGCATTTTTATGAAAGCCTCTCATAGAATTTTGATAATCATGAGTTACCTAAAGGATACATATAGCGTTCTAGGACATTATGTGGGAGGGAGAAAGACAAGACAGGGATATTCAGTAAGGTTCCCCCCTATCTCTGCCAATGGGATGAATTTGCTGATGTAAAACTGAACATTGTTCTCCTTTATTAAAAGACTCAGACCCTGGCAACTAGTTTTTAGGCCAATGGAAGAGAACAAAGAAAAGCTCCAATATTCAATGAGTCTTGACTTCATAGGGGACAGATAACTCACTTCCTATGTTACTGGCCTTTGGGACAACAGAAAGAACATAGGGCTTGTAGCCTAAGACCTGACTGATGATTCCAACCGTGGTAGTACCTGCTAGCCATGTAGTGTCCAATATTTGAGTCTTTCTGGGCCTCAGTCTTCTCACCTGCAAAATAAGAGAAATAATCCCAAATTGAAAGGGCCACTATAAAGATAAAATAAGAGATTAAAGTGAAAATACATACATATAGTATTTCTTAGTTCATTATTATTTTTTAAAGAGCACATAGCTATAAGTCATTTGGACTTCCAGTGATCTCTTTGGGATACGACATATTAGTTGTTTTGCTAGTGAATCACTTCCTTAATTATATTTTACTTAGACTAATATTAAAATTAGAATTTCCCTGTATACCACAACTGATGGAGAGCAGGTGCTAGGCAGAGGAGAAAACCAAGTTGAATTGTAAAAGTTCAGATTTTTAAAACTACATTTTTTGAGCAAAGCCTTCTCTGTAATCATCTTCTTACTCAAATGACATTCCTCTGAAGTAGGCAACTACCTTATCCTCAGGGCAAACTAACAGAGAAAATGGTTATAGTGTAGGCTATACAGATCCAGTAAATAGACACAGATCGCTGCATTAAAATTTGGCTGGGAAATTAAGGATCAGAAGATCCCACAAATTTGATGGGACAATGTGATGGTTAATTTTATGTGTCAAGTTGGCTAGGCTATGGTGCTCAGTTGCTTTGGTAAAACACCAGCATAGGGCCGGGGATTTAGCTCAGTGGTTCTGCCTACTGCCTTGCAAGCAGAAGGTCCTGAGTTTGATCCCCAGTACAAAAATAAAAAAAAAAATCCACCAGTATAAAAGATGCCATGATGATATATTTTAGATGTGATTAACATTTAACAGCAATTAACCTTCATGAAGTAAATGGACCTCATCCAGTCAGTTGAAAGATTTAAAAGACTGAATGAAGTCCTAGGAAGCGTGAATCTTCCCTCTAGAACACATTCAGATACCAAACTCTCTCTCAGTTGCAATACTCTCTCTTCTGGATGTCTCCAGCATGTGTAGCTGCCCTGCAAACTACCAACTTGGCAGCCCCTACCATCTCCTCAACCAATTTTTTTTTTTTTTGTACTGGGGATCAACTCTGGTCCTTGTGCTTGTGAGGCAGGTGTCGGAACCACTGAGCTAAATCCCCAGCCCACCTAATTTCCTTTTCTTTTTGGACTGGGGATTGAACTTTTGAGCTTGCAAGGCAGGCGGTAGAACCACTGAGCTAAATCCCTGGCCCTGGGTTATTATATATATATAATATATATACACACGTGTGTATATAAATATAATATATATATACACACATATGTGTGTGTTTTATATCTGTATATCTATATCATATATAAATATACAGATATAGATACGAGAGACCCTATTGGTTCTGTTTCCTTCCTTCTTCTCTCCCCTCCCCACCATAGTTTATTGCCACAGCTTATCACCCAGGAAACTAGCATCCTTAAACTCTGTGCTGACATCCAGCAGCGGTTTTTCCTCCAGTATTCTTTCTCCAAACTACCCTTCCCTAAAATGTCACCCCTCTGTGGCACAAAAAGCCAAATGCCCTCATTATACTGTAGTTTTGTGGGAGTGACTCTCTACTTTGAGGTTCTTTGGAGGAAAGAGGTGTCACAGATGCAGAGCAAGGCAGCAGGATCTGGTTCTCATGAAGCTTACATTCTATTACAGAAACAGAAGCCACGCTCAAGAAAACAAATATTTAAATTATTTGTGCAGGCTAAGTGCTATAAGGAAAACAGTGGCCTGGTGTTGGCTGTGTGGAGAAGCCTCAATAAAACAGCCTTGTGGGGAAGAAAAAAAGAAAAACCGTTCATCCCACGCAGAGGGTGCAGCGATGACGAGTACAGTGTTCAGTAAATTCTCGGTGAATCCTTCCCAACAGGTGCACTCATAAAACCCAGGCAGAAATTTAGACAACGTAGCAATTTTAAAAGATTGCTAAATCTCACTTGATCCAAACCGATCCATTCCTCTGTCCTGCTTTGGGACCTAGGTGGCAGCAGTCACGTGATGCGGCGGGGGATGGTAGGGAAGATACTGCCTGCCGCTCTGCCTGGCCTCTCAGTTACTTGTGGCACCGCCTTAGGTGGGTGGCTTGGCTGTTCCAGACCTCACTTTCTTCCTCCGCAAACGGGGGGCGGGAGGCTGATGGCTGATAAATACGGACCCGCCGGCTCTCACCCTGAAGTGGAAGTGGTTACACTTCTGCAGCCAGGCCACTAGGCCCGAGCACTTGAGTGGGAAGCCAGTGTGAGAGGGCCAAATTTCCAGAATCCGAAAGTTAGGCCTAGTCCCACATTTTGTGCACGGCCGTAGCTCTAGCCAGCCAGGCAAGGCGCGGGCCCGAGAGATCTGCTCACTGGGTCAGCGCCGCGCACCTGAAAGCGGCGTCCGGTGCTCGCCTTGCAGCTTTCGGAGAGTCGCCGAGCCGGCGTCAGAGCCTAGACCCAGAGCACAGACCTGCCACCGCGCCCCGGCTTCTCGAGTCCCGAGGCCTCTCGGTGTCCTCGACTCAACCCCCTCCTTTCATCTGCTCCTTCCTTTCCTTCCCCCGCTTTTCCTGTTCCGAGTGGACCACGACGGGGGAGGAGAGAGGGAGTGTCTCTAGAAAGAAAGGATCAGTGATGTGGAAGAAAAGAGAGGGCCGAGGGAGGCGGAGGGGAGCGAGCGCGCCGGGGAGCCGGGCGGCTGGGGGAAG